CCCCCCCCCCCCCTTCCCTGTTTTTACTGATGGTTATGACTCTGGTACTTTGGAGCACACACACAAAAATTAATCTTTAACTTCTGGGATTTTTATTTGACATAACATGTACTTTCTGAAAGTTTGCTTTGGTACATTTAAAGACCATGACTTGTCATGCATCTGTGCTTGACAAAATAGTAAAAGTTTAAAGAACATGATACATTTTCTTTATTCCTACTTGCAATTCATTTCTTAAAACCTCCCTCTTAAATGACTAAGAAGTTACTAAAATAGCTCACTCTTTAAAGCGTTCGGAATAATGTTTTGATTCTGTAGGTTTTTCAAAAATGTCTAAGGACTGTGATAACTGGAAATTGTTAGAACAGGCTCTCTTCATTAAATCATTGTGGCTAAGTGTGGACAGTAATAAAAGAACACATATGGTAAAATATAGCTACAGTTGAGTGGTAAATTGGAGTTGCGGTTAGGAATCACTTTGGGAAATGCTTTGAAGGAATTTGTCATCCAACTGCTTGCAGACCCATTGGGGTTCCTGTGTTGGTACCCTGGACTTTCAGAGCTTATCCAGGACTTTCTGAACTTGCAAAAAGGCAGTGTTTTAAAAGTTCATTTCTAAATCGGTTGTTTAAAACAATGAATGCATATGCTTATGAGAAACAGTTACATGAATGTGGGTCCTCAAGTGAGTGTCCTCCCCAAAACATATTTATCTCAGTGTGGCTGAAAAATTGAAGGCTTGTAATAAAAACTTGGAGAAATTGATAGTACAGACCCAGGACTACAGACTGTTTCCTGAAACCCTTGGAATTCAGAAATTTTCAGATTTTTAGGAAGGTAATTTGATATATAGGTCATGTATAATATCCACAAGTGGGGTCCTGGCCAGTTCCCTATAATCAACATGTCAGTAGTTCTGCAGTGTAATGTATGTTTGTTCCCACTAAGTGAGGTGAAGTCAGACTTAAGTATAAATAGCGTCAGATCAGTTCAGATCAGGTTGGATTGTCAAAGAGTTCAGGTCAGGTACATGTTTCATCACCATATGAGTTACAAAAGCCTTTCCGTTTTAATAGCTTATGGGGTTTCGGAAGTGTGAATAAAGGATTATGGACTTTTACCACTAGTCAAACAGAAGAATAGAGTTCAGTAAGCTTTTTTTTTTTTTTTTAACCTTGAATTACAGAAATTAAAGAAAATTGAAGAAAATATGTGTTTGGTTCTCCAGAGGGCAAGAGAGCTGGGATGATGTCTCAGTTCACCAGCAAGTGGGGAAGGCCTTGGTGTGGAGGGGCAGGGAAAGACAGTTTGTGGCCTGTTTGGTTCTTTTTCAGCCTCCATTGTGGATTAGATGGAGCTTCTGGAAGTTTGCTTAGGAACCTGATTGCCATCAGTAACTTTTTTCTCTGGGCTACTTTCGTGATTCTTTTTTGCCCCAGGTGATCAGTTCTGTCTGTGTAGACTGAGTTCATGATTCAATTAATGTAACCCTCCATTGTTGGCTTTTCCCAAAAATCATTCTATCACGTTTTTGTGAGAGTTTGGAAATAATTCAGAGTGACAGCTCCCTAGAATAAGTAGAAGGTCAGATTATGATGACCCTAATGAAGCCTGAAGAGTTGGGACTATATCCTGGAAGTTTAAGGAAATGTGCAGGAGTGGGCTTCAGGGTGCTGGAAAGAGAGCCCTAAAGTGATTGATCCTAAGATCCCTGAAGTGTGAAGGAAGCCCATTCTAGCCAGGAAGTGCCTAACACAGTGGTCTCAAACCTGACTGACCAGAGTTACCCTGGTAGCACGTCAAAATCCTAATTCCCAGGTCTCCCTCCACAGCACGGGTTTTCAACGTTTGTTGCACCGTAGAATCGCCTGGGGAGCTGTTAGAGCCATCATTGCCCGGTTTCAAATGCAAGCCAGTGAAATCGATCTCAGGCTTCTTTTTACTTCTCACATGTAGCTAAGATTGAAAAATTGATGCTTAGGGGCGCCTGGGTGGCACAGTCCGTTAAGCGTCCGACTTCAGCCAGGTCACGATCTCGCGGTCCGTGAGTTCGAGCCCCGCGTCAGGCTCTGGGCTGATGGCTCAGAGCCTGGAGCCTGTTTCCGATTCTGTGTCTCCCTCTCTCTCTGCCCCTCCCCCGTTCATGCTCTGTCTCTCTCTGTCCCAAAAATAAATAAACGTTGAAAAAAAAAATTAAAAAAAAAAAAAAGAAAAAAAAAAGAAAAATTGATGCTTTATGTACTGAATTAAGGGCTCCATGGAATCTGTGTTTTAACTACACTGCTTCAAGTCTACTTAGTTGGTAGAGCAGTATTTGAAATGGACTGGTGAAAGGTATGGATTAAATGAATGGGGCACAGCAGAAACCAGGGG